TTACTTCACTCAAGAAAACTATCTAAAAGATCCGTCATCAGGAAGAGTCCAAAATATTTCTGATTTTTTTTAATTTTGTTTTGGAGATTTTCTCATCGACTTAGACCCTCAAGAACCCCATCGAAAGAGATCCGTCGTCGGGACAAGTTGACTTACCTAATTTGACTGTTACTCAAAACCCCAAAAACAAAAGAAAAACATAACACAATTAAGAAAAACAAAGAAAACATAAAACAGTCAAGTTCTTACATATATACACATATATTGAAGTATCTCCCACCCCACATTTAAAAGGAAGACATGTCCTCATGGCATACAAAATAAAGAATAGTGAGGTAAAGGAACTTCCCTGATTGATCAATCTTGATCAGAGACCGTCTCCGGGTTCAGATGACATGCACGACCCAGAGCTCGTAGCCAGACCATTATTTTCTTCTCCGGTTTAACCTGCTGGGTGGACACTACATCAACACGTGTACTTAAGTCAGCAACCGAGGTACGCAACCCTGCCACCTCCCGCTCTAAGGCTGTGAATCGGGTAACTCGACCAACCTCAGATGGTTTTGCAACCTCTGCAATCTGCTCATAGGCGGGTGACTCGGCCCTTACTTCCTCTTGCTCATCCTCCCCTTCCTCCTATTCATCGAAGTCAGTACTATGATCACCACCAGGTGCCACAGGCTCCTTCCCAGTAGTTACTTTATCAGCTCGGAACTTGGAGTCTCTCGGCACTATCCCATCCACATTCAAATTTTCCGGCACCCGAGCTGCCCGGCAAAGCCTAATGACTAGGGAAGGGAAGAAGAAATCATACCTCTTCACTAGACAACGTAAACATCTCCCCGTGAATAAGCTTGGCCACATCAAAGTTGTGACCATTTATAAAACACCAAATTAAAGCAGCTCGAGGAGCATTCACTTTCGTGGTATTGGAAGACCGATCAGGCGGTTGTTGATGACATACAACCAGCACTTCCCTTCAAAGGTGAGCGCCGCAGAATGAAACTTCTTCCCATATTTTATCTATACAATTTCCTTGCCGAGTACACAAATAGTTTCAAAGAACCTATCCCACTGGGTGTATCTTCTACCATACAGTTCATAATAGTCGTCAAACTCCTCCACAGGTTGGGGCAGCTGGTATATCCTACGAATAACCTCAACAGAGGCATTCACAGCCTTTTTGCACACTGGTTCTAGTTGTTCAGTTGATTGTTGTTGTTTGTTTTTCTGGTTGGCCCGATTCAAGGCCTTGAAAACTTTTTCGGAATCTGATAATGCTTCAAACACTTCACCAGTTCTCGATGAGTTTCTAGGCATGCACCTGTACAACCAAGTTAACAAACGTTAAAATTTCAATGTATGGATTGAAAATAAAGAAACCTGACTACACTAAGAATTTTTGTATTTCTTTCAACTGTAATTGATAACACCGTTAATTCCTCGGCAACGACGCCAAAATTTGATCACGTCCAACTATACTTTATAAAAAAGACAAGCGGTCGTTGCAAATATAATCCGAGTATTTAGCCCAGAGTCGAATCCCACAAAGAATTAACCTACCAATTACTTTTGTCAGACTCACTGAATTCTCCGTAATCAATTTCGCAGATATTTTGAATAACACCTGGTGATAATTCTACTAACTATAACTAAATAAAATTAAGTAAACTAAAAGCTCACTATGACTGAGTTGTAAACAAATAAGAGAAGGATCTAAGGTTGTGATTTCCCTTATTGATGGAATCCTTTCCAGTTATGTTTCGCATAGATTTGCCTAACCGTCTCTATCAATCATGAGCACCCTTACTACCGTAAATCTCTCTCGAATAATTACGACAATTTACTAGACGCACTCTCCCGAGTTACGCTAGCTGGCTTTTATTACAGCTCATTTAGATCGCACCCAAGGTTTCGTTATCCCTAATCCCACTTTTAAACCCTCGGTTATTGATTCCTCATATACTTTGGGAATGGTGTTGTTCAACAACTACCTAAATATGCACTCTCTCCCGAGTAATACATATTAAATAGGCACATCTAATTAAGAATCCTATCAATTAACTACAACAAGAACGTAGTTGAACAAATAGAGATTAAACTGAGCAAACTATATTAACACAACAAGAAGTTCATCCCTCAACAGGTTCCATCAAAACCCTAGACTAAATAATTAGCTACTCATAATCATGTTCATAATAACAACAGCAAAATTCATCATGAATGATAAATACAAAAGGAAGAAAGGTAGAACTCGATGTCAAATTATCCTCCTTGCCTCTTGCCTCTTCTTGCCTTTTACAAAGCAATAAAAATCTTGATAATCTCTTTTTGAGTGAGCTAGACCTCTTATAGGTTAAGTGGAATTACCCCTGAACTTCCTGTGCTCCGAATTGATTAGCGCGGCCAAGCTAGAACCGCGCTAGTGGCAGCGCATATCGCATAGTATACTATCCTGTTTTCCTGCTCTAGCGCGGTCGCGCTAAGGCAGCGCTTGGCCCGCGCTAGAGTGAATCAGCATTTTCTCTCTTCTTTTCTTTCTTCTTCACACGTACTCAGCTCCGAGTGGCTTCCCTTGCTTTAATTTAGCTCCAAACACTGTCCTAAGTCCTCATAAGCACAACTTGCTCCTGCAAAACATGAAATTCATAATTAGAGCCAATTTATCGTCATTTAATCATCCTAGAACGGTGAAGCATAGTCAAGTTTGGGCATAAATAGTCGCCAAACTACATGAATCTAGCGTATTATCACTTATGTCAAACTAACTTTTTATATGATGATACATATTCTATATGTATTTGAAAATAATTTTATTTTAAATTTTTTATTTTAATGAAAAGCTTTTGTAACCACAAATACGTTATAACATATTTAAGACTATAAGTTTCAAAACTCTTATAGTCATACAAATGATGTGGTATATTTAAGATTATAAGATTCAAAAGTTCTTCTATTAATCTTTCTTAAACTTCACGCTGAATTAAACTAAGTTACATAAATTTGATTGAAACAAAAGTACGAAAAAAGTGTATGTGCATTAGAATAGGAAGATGAAATTACCTAAAAACAAACGCTTTATTTTAAAGCAGGTGTACATAGATCGGATTGGTTCGATTTTTATCAAAATCAAACCAAACCAACTATATCGGTTTGGATTGGTTCGGTTTCATCGGGTTTTTTGTTACTTAAATATTATTTCAATTTTACTTTGTTAAATTTTTTATAAGTAAATATATGTTTAGTAAAAATATAAAAAATTGACAAACATATTATCATTTAAAATATTCTTATGGGAGAATTTTCTTAATAACACATAATAGTTATTTTTTTAGTCTGACAATAATTTTTCATTGATGTACACTTTCAAGGTTAACCGAACTTAGTAATTAAACATATAAATCAATATGATACCTAAATAATAAAAATTACTTCGCATTCGAAAAAGATATAAGAATTTAATAGATCTTAACATATGATATGAATATGGAAGAACAAAGAGATTGGCGCATTTCAGTAACACTTGATAAGAAAGTGATCATACAACCCATTATTTAATGTTAATAAATATGGAATACTTCATATTCTATTAAATATTATATCCCGCAAGAGAATTTTAAATATTTCTAGATATTTTTTAAAGAAAATTCTATATAATATCTTAAAAGTATATATAAAAATTATATATTTATATGTCGGTTTGGTTCGAGTATTTTTACTCAATACCAAATCAAATCAAACATAGTCGAATTTTTTAGTCGGTTTTGGTTTGACTTTTCGATTTGGTGCGGTTTTCCGATTCTATCGATACACCCCTACTTTAAAGTATGCACCCTTAAACAATGTTCCTGACATAATAATTAGTTCTTGGAAGTTAATTTAGAAGCTTCTCTTGACAAAATAATCACTCATTTTCTGTGAAGGAGTACACCTGCTGGCCTCGTTCAAAGATACCACGAAGACTATCCTAACCGTGCTCCTTCTTTAATCCAAAGAAACAAACGGAGATGAAAAACAAAAGCTGAGTTTAATTCGTTGAATTGTTTGCTAGTTATGGTATGTTTTTTTTTTTTGCTAAAACAGTTGTGGTATGTTTGCTATGGCAGAAAGTATTTTTCATAAAAAAAATATTTTTCAAAATAAAATTTTCCAAAAAATAATTTTTAGATATTAGTTTGGACGAGTAGAAAAATATTTTCTAGAAAAATATGCATTAAAAAAATTAAATAATATCAACAAATTGGAGTGTATTATTTTAGTGAAATTTTTGAGTAGCTGAAATTATTTATAATGTCTAGATGCATGTTAGTTAAAGCAAGTAATATAAAATTAAAAAATCAAAGTATTTTGTATGGAAACTATCCTACCAAACACACCCTAGGAACTAGGAAAAGGTATATATACCTAATGCTGCTCGGTGGGCCGGGCCTGAACCGGACCGGACCGGGCCCGCGGTCCTAACGGGNTTGTAATCCAGAAGAATAGACTCATTTATTTACTTCTTTAATAGCCAATTAGATGAGAAAAATTAGAAGATAATTAGAACTTATTAAACATAAAGCCTCTGAGAAATGAAGTGGCATTTACTAGAGGAGATTATGCGTAGGAGAGACGGATCCAGAATTTAAATTATATTGGTTCGAAGTCATTATATTTTTAAGTCATGGTTCATATCTATTATTTCTTACAATGAATTTTTACACATAAATTTATGCTCCGCATCGAAAATTTTGGATTCAGACGAACCCGGGCTTTCAATTGTTGCATCTGCCCCTGAATGCATAGGCGTTGTGTACGACGTGTTGATTTTTTCATGACAACTTGCAGAGTATCACCACATTTGTAATCCATGCACCAAAAACATTGTATACTTTCCCCCGTCACGAGAATTGCGTTAATCTCGATGACAAACTGAATTTCAAGTAAGGTAAAGCAAACACTTTGCATTGCTCCGCCACTATAAATACTCCTACTGTAAAGGCACTAGGAACTCAGATTGCTAAGCTTAAACAACTGAGATATTCAAGCATGGCTAGATCATCCCAAGGAAAGGTGATAACTATTCTTAGCATTGATGGTGGAGGTGTTAGAGGGATCATTCCCGGTACAATTCTTGCTTTTCTTGAATCCCAATTCCAGGTTAGTTAACACGCATACATATATATATATACTGTACTTTCTTATAAAGAATATATGTCTACCTGTACACTTTAATTTATAACAGATCTCAGGCTTGATACAGAAAGCTAGCTGCCTTGTAGGTTAATTTAGTCTAATAGTATAAAAATTCTTTACATTATGAACTTATTGTAGGATTGCGTATAGGTGTTCGTAACACGCAGCGGAAGACAATAACAATCCTAGACAGATCTTTTCGTGTTTAAAAATTTATTAACATGTCAATAGATCGGATCTAAGACGTACCTGGTGAAGAAAGTCTCGTTTCAAATTCTTCGATAGTGCGAAGACTCTATGCGTATCCATACCGAGGCCGATCCTTACTATCAACTCTATGATCAATGAAATCCGTGAACAAATTGAACGAAAATTACTATGCTGAAATTCTTCTCAAAGTTTCAGCCCGAAAGTAAAAGAAGAAAACTAATTTTCTTATAAAGAATAGTTCTTGACTTTTTGCGGCACACTTACACGCTTTTTTCACACACCTCATGTTTAGGACTAATAGGTATTTATTATAGTACCAATTAATAATTCATTCCCAAAAGGTTTAGGAAAATTTGAGGCGGTGACCTACTGTAGCACAAGACCAAATTTNGGATCTAGGGCATATCTACCATATCCCTAACACTTATGTCTCGTACATATTCCAAAATTCCCTAAATAATTATGGTACGAGTTATGTACATTTTTCCACAGAAACTTGACGGAAGTGATGCTAGGATCGCAGACTACTTTGACTACATAGCAGGGACAAGCACTGGAGGTTTAGTTACCGCAATGTTAACTACCCCAAATGAAAAGAATCGACCTTTATTTCGTGCAGATGAAATTACTGAATTCTATCTGAAGGAGAGCCCACATATATTCCCGCAAGATAAAGCAAAGCCCCGGTATGCATCAAATTTGCATTAATTTAACCAGGTCTAAAACTCTGCTTATTTATCGTGTGCCCTCTACATGCAGGTTTAGCATTCCCGGCTGGGATACTGTAGTTAATTGGGTTAAGGACCTTTACAACAGATATCTTGGCCCTGTATACCATAGTGCCGAAAAAATTGTTGATTGGATCGAGTCCATGTTGTTTCGTCCTAAATATGATGGAGAGTATTTGCGTGGGAAAATCAAGAATATGATTGGAGATCGAAAGCTTAGCCAAACACTAACTAACGTTGTCATTCCTGCCTTTGATGTTCATGAGTTTCAGCCAGTTATCTTTTCATCTTTACAGGTCATTTTAATTTTCTTTTGGTTATAATTATCCCTGCTTAATTTTCTTCATTAATGATGGATGATTTATTTTACCACTTGACATTATACAGGCGAAAGGGGACGATTCAAAGGATTGTCTACTAGCAGATGTTTGCATCTCTACATCTGCAGCACCATATTACCTTCCTCCTTATCATTTTGAAGTTAAGTCGTCCAAAGGTACCAAAATATATAACACCGTCGATGGTGGTGTTGCGGCCAATAACCCTGTAAGTTACAATTGTGTACACAGTCATATATAATCATTTTACAACATCACTATTAATTGACAAATAAAATTGTACCAAAGACTTTGCTAGCAATACGAGAAGCAACACAAGAGATGTGGAGAAGTTCATCATCAAGTAACAGAGCTATAGATGATGTTACATTTGTTATACTTTCACTGGGCACTGGATCAGCAAAAGGGGTTCTAAAATTAGACGTTGATGACGGTAAGACGTGGGGATTGGTCAATTGGTTTTTGGGGCCAGGAGATAGCACTCCCCTCATTGATGTTTTTGAGTCTGCCTTGAGTGATATGGCTGATATTTATACATCTATGTTCCTACATGGCACTCCTTCAAATGATACTTACCTCAGGATTCAGGTACTAAAATGTATTGCTGTCTCTTCCATTTTATACGATGGTATTTATTAGATAATGAATTTAAGACAGATTTTTGACACTTATCAAAAGTACCTTAGAACTTGTAATCTTACGCATGTCATGTTCTAACTATAAAAGCATGTCACCAAGGATGAAATCAGTAGGTTAAAGTTTGAAAGTTTTTAAATACAAAAACGTGTCATTCATTCCAAGATTCTTTTGTCAAATATTTCCTGTTTGTCTTTCTGAAATGGATCGGAACATTATTGATCATCAGATTGATGGGTTGAAGTATGAAGATACAATGACTGACAATGCAAAAGAAGAAAATCTGAGCAACTTGGTGGATATATCAAATGACCTGTTGAAGCGCCCTGTTTCTTCCGTCAACTTCGAAACTGGTTTTTATGAACCCATCTCAGACAAGCGCAAACCTGTAGGAAAAGCCGATTGGACCAACGAAATGGCTCTCGTTGAGTAAGTTCACCTTTTACAAGTACACATTAATTAATATCATCTTTAATTTGCAAATAATCTGATTTTCCTGTTTCTCTTGGGTTTGTAGGTTGGCAAAAAAATTGTCAGATCAGAGAAAGCTCCGCCTCAAACAAAAGGCTTGAGCAATCCCGTTGTAGTGCTGAAGCTCTAGGTTAATTGCTGGAGACTTTGAAAATAAATACTCTGGCTAGCTTTAGGTGTCTAACATCTCTTTGTTTTAGACTGTAATTGCCGGATGATAATAAACTTAAAAGTTTAATGCTGAAATAAGATAGTATCTCTTTGTTTAAAGGCAAATGATGAACATCTCTGCACCTGTTGAGGCTTTTTGTTTTTCTTTTGTATTTACTTCTTACTTTTTGTTTATATGATTGAACTGCAAATTTTACAGTGAATTGGGAAATAATATTTTCTCATCCCCTTCTCCTCCAAAAAATAAGCTACTTAAGACTTGGAAAGTAATGCCAAAACATTTTTTTGGCTCAGTCACAAGTCACAACAAAGTTTTAGAATTTGGCGAATAAGAAAGCAATGGCATATCTCCTCTCCCTTTTACACATGATTGGAGAATTAAACAAGATAATTGAATATTTCTTCTGCACCTAAATGGGAGGAATAAACTTGATAAATCCCATGTCTCTAAATGCCAAAAAGATATATGAGAAAAATCTCATAAAACCCTAGGTATTGGCTAAAGTTGAAGCTATTGACTGAATTCATTTTGGATTTAAGTTTTGCAACTGACAGTATAAAAAACTTTTATACTATCAGTGCAATTCAATTGGTTTTTAGTAAGTTATCAATTTGAGTCGAGGGTTTATTGGAAACAACATATCTATCCTCACAAGATAGGGTAAGGTCTGCGTACACACCACTCTCCCCAGATCCAACGCTATGGGATAATACTGAGTATGTTATTTTTGTTGTAAGTTATCAATTTATTTTTCAGGTTACTATATCAGACTTGATATAAAAAGTTACCTATTATTGTATCAATTTTGCTTGATGGTGTAAAAAATTCATTAACTGTCAGTCCACAAAACTTAAAACCTTTTTTATTTTGGAACCCTAGGAAAACTCGTAGCCGCTACAACCTCTGCCACAACCTCTGTCCTTCGGGTGAGCACTTTGAGGTGAGCACTCTGTGCGCACTAGATACCCCCACTGTGTAGTAGCCCGCAAACCACACAATTGAGGTGGCTCAGACCTAGGGGCCATTGAGGTGGTTCGAACTTGCGTCAGCCTGTGTGGACAGTGCCCTCCAAACCCAACTGGGCCGTCCCTTCGGGACTAAAACCGTTTTTTCCTAAGCATCTTTTGCCTATCCCCAATTAGACAGATGAGGCACTTTATGGCCGGCTGATAAGAAGGATATTTTGGAAGTTTAGTGGATAATGGCATCAAGGAAAGAAAGGAATAGCAATGGTGTTATTCTTGTTTCTTGAATGCCTTTAGGTTCGGTTTAGAATCTATGCCCAAGCTTTGCGCTAAGTTGCAACCAATACCGTTAAATCTTGGTTTCTTAAATGTTATATATTCACATTTCACTACAAGCCTACAAGTTGTAACATCAAAGTAAACCAACAAAATTCAACTTATTAACAATGTCGAATACTACTATAAGTTTCCTCTATTTTCGTTTCAACAGTTTTAGAAAGTCATCGTCCAAATCTAGCCCATCATTTAACCTGTCAAAGGTAAAGAAAACGCCAACCATGTCGTTGCCTAATTTCCGTCCAAAAGAGGAGGAAATGAAAAGGGTGTTTGACAAATTTGACACCAACAAAGATGGAAAGATCTCAAAAGAAGAATACAAATCAGCCATGAAGATGATGAGAGTGGAGAAAATACGAAAACTTATGACGTTGGCGATGCATTTCAGGCTGCAGATACTGATGGGGATGGGTTCATTAATTTTGAGGAGTTCATGAGAGTGCAGAATCTTGAAGGTGGTGTGAATCCAACTGATATTAAAAGCGCATTCAAGGCATTTGATTTGGATGGTGATGGCAAAATTAGTGCAGACGAATTGTTGCAGGTTCAGCGAATGCTAGGAGAAAAATGTAGCTTGGAGAATTGCAAGAAAATGGTGAGAGGTGTTGACGCCAATGGGGATGGACTTATAGATATGGACGAATTTGTGACCATGATGACGCGCACCATGAAACTAGTCTAGAGTCCAGGGATCGATTCACTCTGTGTAGATTGATTTACTTTCTTCACATTTGCTTTGTTTGCAATAAATATCCTGTTTACTGATATTTAAGTTCTTATGCTAGTTGAATTTCAAAAAGAACTCCCAAGAAAGATATAGAGGTTCTATTGTAGCAATATCATTTTAAATTACTATGATCTTATTCTGAACCAGAAGTGATCCCCTTGACTTGCAAAATTAAGTAACAAATCTGCCAGTAAATTAGTTTGTCACTGTTTATTGGCCTTAGCAACCAAAAACACAGTGAAATCAGGAGCCATAACATTCTTAATGTCCTTCTAATGCGAATAAAGCGGGTCAAATAGAAAGGTGCAGCCCAGTGCACTGAACTCCCGTTATGCACGTGGTTCGTGAAAGGGTCTAGCAGCCTTATTTGCATTTCTGCAAGAGGCTATTTTCATGGCTCAAACCCGTGAGCTCCTGGTCACATGGCAACAACTTTACCAGTTACGTCAAGGCTCCCTTCAAAGTTGGTCAAATAGGAAACTTAAAAAACAATGGAGAAATTGCACATAAAGACAGAGGAAAGATAAGTAGAACTTGATTCTAAGATCAAGTTGCACCATTTTGTTGAAGTGAGATGCTGTTCATGCATCAATGTTCATACTTAAAAAGGTATTCTAGAAAGATTCCATTGTTAATTTACTCCCTATTATTGGAGTTGGAATAAAGTTGTAAGAATCAGCATCATTTCAAACACAAAATATCAAAAGATATTCATATTATTAGGATGGTGTTTCCATCATGAATTCCCTTATCTTGAATAAAAGTCCAAAAGTAAAAGATGCCTATCAAATTTTATAGTTGATTGATTCCCTAGCACTTGAAAAGTTTGTGCAAATTTAACAGCCAGTAGAGGATAGTCCACGATTATCTTTCATACAAGAACAAGGCATCATGTATATTTTGTAAATGTCTATGCAACTTTAATTTGCTCTTCATTATAGGGCTAACAAACTAAAGGAGAACAGATGGCAATAATGAGTTGTTTCGAGCTTCCAGTGCAGCAGCCAAGTAGGGATATGTCAGTGCAAGAATTCAAGGTGTGGATTAAGCAATTCGACATGGATCATGACAAGCGTATTAGCCGCGAAGAACTAACAGAGGCACTTCAGAGTCTACACATATGGTTCAGCTCATGGAAGGCTCGTCAAGTTATGAAAACTGCTGATACTGACCATACAGGTTTTATTGATAACAGAAAAGAAGTGGAGAAACTGGTAAACTATGCCCAACAACGTTTACACATGAAAATCCATCAAAGTTAATTAGTTGTGAATATTTCTACGGCTTCTAGTTGTTAATGCTTCTCCTTTGATGGGATTGTGTTGTCATGGTGTTTTTTTTCTTCCTTTTTTTCCCCTTAAGCATTCAGTATAGAAGTTCACTTGCAAACTAATCAAAGTTCTTGCCAGATAGCCTCACTAAGGGATAAAACGATTTCTATCAAGAAAACTTGATTTGGAGTGCTCGAATGAAACTCAAACCTCTAATTAAGGGTCGAGGATCCTAACCATCGTATCATACTTCTCGTGGTTGATGTCATGTTGTTATCTATGTAGCGTTGTAGCTCGTTTTGTACATCAATAAAGTGACAAATTGTACTAGTGAACTCACACGGTTATAGCCAGAACCATGAGAAGTAACGGTTAAAAGTTTGCCATTTTAAATTTGTTTGTTGGTTTTCTTTTCTGCATGTATTTCTCTCTATCAATTGAAAAGTAAAAGTTATACTCTCACCGCTTCAATCTATGTGAATCTATTTCTTTTTTAATTCATGTCAAAAACAATGAATCTTTTTCATATTTGGAAATGATTTAACTTTGGAATGATTTATAGCCACACAAAATATATGTGTCTCATTTTACATCACAAGTTCAAAAGTTATCTCATTTTTCTTAAACTCCGTGTCCATTCAAATAAATTCACATAAATTGAAACGGAGAAAATATAATTTTACAAGTACTCAGACTAGGGGTGTCAATGGTTCTGTTTGGCCGGTTATTTTATAAAATTTGTACTATACCAATTTTTCGGTTATTCTATTATATATAACCAAAATTAGACTTTTCAAAACCGTCCCAATCACGTCGGTTTCTCCTCGGTATCGGTTCGGTTCGGTTAATTTTCGGTATTTTTTTTAAATGTCAGGTAAAGTTCATCAATAGAAGTAGAATGCAATAACATACATTATTTTACGGACTTAAAAAACTCTCTAGATATTTTTACTGTTTAAAAGGTGATGAATTAAAAAAAATGAAAGATGGCTAGAGTATAGATCAGTGTTGTCAAAGGAACGCTTAAGCTCTTAAGCGAGGCTCAAAACATGTTGAGTGCTTTGCCTCGCTTTGTGGGCGCTTTAGTATCACATCAAGGCTCTAAGGCATACTATTCCTTGTCAATGAGTGTAATCATGAAAAGGTGACATTAAACAATTGATATTTTACTTTATCGTAATTTTTTCCAATTTTTTTATCCATATATTTGTTATTCATGCTTATAATTATTAGTCTTGGACTACATATACATATTTTTACTTTTTCTCCAGTTGCGCCTTTTTTCATTAAAGCTCATGCTTTATTTGCGCTTTTAGCCCCAACGGACCTTAGAGCTTTTTTGCGCTTTTCGCTTTTGATAATATTGGTATAGATCCATCAACTATTCTACAACAACGTAAAAGAAACCAAGCAAAGCAAAGAAAATATAAATCACACGAGTGAAAGAAAACATATTCAATACATTGTAGTTTGCAACTATCACTAGACTACTTTGTGTCTTGCTAATAAAGATACTTGAAATAATTTAGTTTAAGTAGAAGTAGCATAATAGGATTTAGGAATTAGTATTTTGAGCTTAATTATTTATTGGCTTGTAATAGTTTTCATAATTCGAAGGCCCAAAGAAAAATTTAATGCATTATTAGTATGTTTGAACTTACTAGATAAATATATTTTCCACATATAAAATTTATTCGGTACGGTTCGGTATTTTTTTGGTTTATTTTCGGTGCAGTTATAGATTTATATAAAAACCTACGGTTTCTTAAAAAGAAACATAAAAATTGATTCGGCACGGTACGGTTCGGCCGGTTTAGTCGGTTTTTAAATATCCATTGACACCCCTAACTCAGACATCGATGTAAACAAAATTACATAAATTGGAACTAATTATACCACCAAAATTAAGGAGCATTAAAGCTTGAATTGTAGATGTTGCATTGAGGCTAGGGGTGGCAATTTGAGGCCAAACACATTCAACCCGTCTAGGGATTAATGGGTTGGGTAATGACATTAGCTTATGGGTTTATTTGGGCTGGGTCCAAGTTAGCCCATCATTTTTTATAGCTCATTCTGACCCATGAAGTTCATCCAAATACAACCCATGACGCTCACCCAAAACAAAGGGATCTCAACCCAACTTAAAGCTTTTCTAGAAATTTACGTAGTCGCCCCATCATTAGTCATTTATCTAAATTTAAAAATGAGAATCAAGGTTTTAATATTCGATTTTGGGCTCCTTATTTAAGACTTAATCGGAGTTTAATTTTTTATTTTATTTATAAGTTTAACTATTCCAAAATCAATGTCAGATATATGCGATTAATATTGCAAATATAAGTTACTAGAAGTTATAAATTTTATCTAAAATTTAGTACTATATTACTTGTGCAAGCAAATTTGAACCTCAAATATACATATTCACATATTTATACTTTGAATTTCTCTTTTATTAGTTCGATATTTGTGCTAATTGGTTTCATGTTCTAATTTGTTTTGTTTTTGATTTCTATTTTTACGATTTAACTCCAGTCTAGAAAGTTATAAAAGCTCATGAATAGTTGAGTATAAGATAAATCCATGTGTTTCTTAGCTAAATTAGATATATAACAATCCATCATCGTGCATAGAATGAATAAATTATGAGGAAGCTAAGAAAGTAGGAAACATACATAGGTGTATAAAAGGTAAAAGACTTTTTTTATGCGAGATAGAGCATGATTCTAAAATATGGGTCTATTTGGGCGGGTTGGATTATGATCCATTGTTTAACCCATTTTGACCCAACCCATCTTAGCTCAAGTATACTTAGGACTGTGTTGGGCAATGACCCATTTAATGACTCAACCCATTTTGACCCGCCCAAATTCAACTCAACCCATCCATTTGCCACCCTGCATCCTTTAGTAAAGAATGTCTTATAGTTCTCAAAAAAGAATGTATTTATACAATAGACAGATACCACATAAAGATGATACAATAAAGTAAATATTGACTAGGTACAAGAATTAAATTCGTAAAATTACCATAGTATATAACACGAACTCACTTATAATCAAATTATGATTATAGGCCGACAGTGCTTGCAGTTTTCTTGGCTTATTACCCCGGAATATAATCATTGACCTCCATTTTTGTGGCTCTTCCAACTTAAACAGTTAGGAAAGTATAAACTCCTAAAAGTTTAATCGTATGTGCCATGAAAATATTTGATCTCGAATAAATGAACTCAATCTGGAATACAAAAATGGTACAGTTCAAACTAAGGCTTCCAAATATAGATAACTCCAGTCTCCTAAAACTAAGGTTGATTTAATACGCTGAAATTGATTAGTTTTTCATTTTCGTCTTTCACAGGATTATTTTCTTTCAAGGGAGAAAAGTGAGTGGTGGACTATTATTTTTAAAATGTTTTGGGTTATACTTGTAAGTGATATATATCTCCTTGTTTTTTTTCCTTTCTATGGTTACTTCCTCCTCATTTAATGCTGAAAACTATCAAACTGTTTGACGCTAGTTTGTTAAATAACACTAATATTAAATTATACACTCTTTTACAAAATTCATATCTATTTAACTAATCAATTTAAGAAGAAATTACATCATATATCAATTGGGCCATACAGCCCATTCGAAAATAGCCCACATTTGAAGGGGGCATTTACATCTATATTCGGTTTTTAT